GAACCACAGAATATGTAAAATATCTCTGATCGGAACTAATCGTCTCACTAACAGGCAATGGGCGTCAAAAAGATTTATGGAGGGGAGACCAAGGGGGAATATGATTGTTATCTTTGTCTATTCGCTGAAAATATGATTTTATATCTGTGTTAGATATCCTGTTAAGTTTTACCATACCGACCATAAAATTTTACCTACACTGTATATATATATATATATATATATATATATATATATATATATATATATATATATATAAATAAACAGTTTGAAAAGAGTGTTGAGAAGAACGCCACTGGTAAAACATTTTTTTTAAATGTGCTTCTAATTACATTAGTGGAAGAATATTTATGAAATAAACATGAAGAGACGTTCAAAACGCATTAAGCTTTAATGTAAAAAAGTTATGAAATAACAATCTCTTCTTTTAAATTACACCAGACCGCATCCCAAAGAGAGTAATCCCGCTTTAACTACTTGTATGTATATTTTCGAAAAAGCGTTGTATTTTTTAATGCACTCTCATTATTTTACACAGGAAGTGGCTTTTGTAGAGGCAGAGCAATTTTTTTCTTGTACATATTATATTCTTTTGTCTAAAAATATATTGCGTATTCTGAATATACCTGGAATGGACAAATAGTCAACCCGAAGTTAACTTAAAACAATGTAAGAAAATTAAAAATTGTTCAACTAACACAAGAAATTATTATATTGAGATAATAATATCAAAAAATTATATTTATTTTGACAGTTGATTTTTTTGTGAGCGGAATAACGGATTTCTTTTTCTTTGTTATCTACTCTGTTGAGCAAACGTTTAATCAATCTTCTCTATTAAGAACACATTGGTTTTCTTCTGTTGAGTTTTAGATACTAAGGGAGTTCAAAGTGAAATTACATCAATACCATGTTGTAGTTCTATATTTTGTTAACATGTTTTTTTTTCAATTTCCCTGATACCTTTAAAAACATAGACGGTGTTATTCTTTAATATCTGTTTTAATTTCAATAATTATTGATTAACAATAACAAATAAAAACAGTTAACAAACCTTCCAGAACAGAAAGAAACATTATCGTAAACTAATATTGCGTGTTTCGTCCTCTACTTTTATTAAGAGTTCTTACCAACGCTTAAAAGTTATTTGTCAACGAGGTAAGCGCTATGTCCAGTTGCACAGGTAACATAAGAGAGACGAGATTGTACAAAAGAGGTTCTGTGATGTTTCGGAGTGCAATTTCCTTGACAGCAAGAACAGACTTTGGGTCTTTATGTGGAGACTCTTTAAAGACCAAAAGAGAGGTACATTAGAGCAATTTTTTTTCTTTGAACACGTTGTTTATGTTGCACCTTATACAGAAAATATTTTAATATTAAGGCATGATAAGACAAGACCTCACCTAGCGCGTGTCGTTATTGAATATTTAAATAAGGCAAATATTCACACATTAAATTAGCCTCCTCAAAGTCCCTACATAAATCCCATTTAACAATTATCAAATATTGTCAGTAGCTAATTAAAATTCCGTCAGCCCCTTCCTGATTGCCCGCAAGATACAGACACTCTAGTTATTGATATCTGAAACTTCATAGACCAAAAAGCAAATTTTTACAAATTATAAGAATACGACACGATTTTGACGTAAATCTATCTTGCCATTATGTACATTGTCCTCCCTACAGGGTGTCACCAATTTCCCATAAGGACAAATTTTTTTTCCTTTCTTCTGGTATAAGCCCAGAAGAGAAGTTAGGCTAAACCTTTGTCCAACAGTGAAAATACCAAAAAAAAGTCTAAAATATTAAAAAAATTAACTAGATCCGTTAATCCGTTTACGAAAAAATCCACTCTCAAAATGAGCATAATTTTTGATGGTGTAAAACTTTTGGGGTTAAGATTATAAAGGAATAACATTAACTTGATTTAAGAAGGTAACAAAGGTTAACACAAATTTTAAATTACATAAGGACAAATTTTAAATTTCTGTAACATAAAAAATTTACTTAATATTTAAAAGAAAATAAATTAAGATGAGCCTTATAAATATTATCTTTACCTATTATTGTAAAGTGACATAACATTATCATTATATCTAAAACTAAACAAATTCAATTCCACATAAAAAATCTACATATTCAGTTTTGCAGTAACCTCATTCCATGATTCTCCCTTCTGTATTACATTTTTGTAATATTCGTGGAAAGTGTCAAATAAATACACATATTTTCACAGTTTTTCAGTAAGTAATTCAGTTTCTTCACTCATTTTATTAAACTGATCTCACAACAAAACTGCAATTTTGTACAACTGTATTTTCAGCAAAGCGACAATGACTGGCTCGCTGCGACATCAACAATACACCATGCAACAATACTGTGTATTACAAGTAGATCGCCCGCCGGCCTCGGTCTGATATTGCTGCCGTCCGCGACACATCACTTTCTGTGTGCCCGAGCCTTTATCGATTCTGCACAAGTTTAAAAAGTTCCTGCACAAAAGTAGCCGGCACTGCTAATAACTGTCCAGTCTAGAATGTTTTCAAGTTATGGTGCTTGTTTTCTACCAATTCCCTAACGTTTTTCTAGTGCTAGACCTTTGTAGTTCTTCTTTGTATAATAGTTTTTCTACCCATGGTATTCGTAGATTTTTTTTGTGGATCTATTTATTCAGCGGTTCTAGCCCTCATATTGGCTATATTTAGATCCAGTTTTCAGTGACGTAAAAGACCGTATATAAAATTTCACCGTCCTCTATTATAGCTATAGATTTATCTTATAATCGCATGAGAGAAATTTTATTCTAATAAAGGGTCAACGATTCCCTTCAGTTCTGTTCAATTTCCATACGACATAATACTCGAGTCGTCAGAAATGAAAATGCTACTGAACCTCTAAAAATGTTATGATCACGCTAAAAGATGGATTAATATTTTTAGCTATCTTTACAAGGATTTCGCTTCTGATGGTGGATTTTTAGAACTTTAACTTTAACTGCTCTAAATTATCTAAAAGAAAACTTCTTTCGGTAAATGTTGTTTAAGTTTTGTGTCCATGTTATGTATATTATTGTCCTTGCCTAGAATCCAAAAGTTCCATTTTTACTTTGACATTCTTCACTTTTTTCTTGATTTCTCTTATACATGTCAAAGTTATCCTTAGCTTTTCTTAATATCGTTATCAACTCAAATATTACAGACGTTACCCACTGTATCTTTTTTGTGACCTCGTATATTTCGTCTGACAATTTCCTATTTGATTTTGGATCATTTCATACATTATTGATATTTATATTAAGTGGCTTTTGTTAAAGCTTCTAAGTTTAATATTAATGTAATTTTTAAATTCTTGTTGTTGTTGTTTGTTTGTGTTTAAATGACTGCGGACACTAAATCCATTCGCCAATCTTACAATTTGAGGTGTAGTGTGTGTGTGTGTGTAGAGTAATTGTCTTGATACTTAGCAAAGTCGACATCATTGTCTTTGCTAAGAGACGCTAATTGTATCCGAACGTCTGCGGTCCCTCCGGTGTGTACCGATCACACAAGGATAGAAATTATTTTCATTTATTAATTTTTTTAATAAACGAAAATTTCCACCCAGGTGGGATTCGAACTCACGACCTTTAGGTTTAAAGGCAGGCGCTCTTACCACTGCGCCACAGAGGGGGTTTAAATTCTTCATTCTAAAATAAACCGGAGTCCCATTCAGACACAGTTCAGTGAGCCAGTCTGGCAGAGTATACGAATGTTTTTATTTTTTTTTTATTGAGTTAATGCCTCGACAACTATGATCATTGGCATGGTACAGTCAGGTACCTAGTGTAGTGTGTGTGTGTGTGTGTGTGTGTGTGTGTGTGTGTGTGTGTGTGTGTGTGTGTGTGTGTGTGTGTGTGTGTGTGTGTGTGTGTGTGTGTGTGTGTGTGTGTGTGTGTGTGTGTGTGTATGTGTAGAGTAATTGTCTTGATACTTAGCAAAGTCGACGTCATTGTCTTTGCTAAGAGACGCTAATTGTATCCGAACGTCTGCGGTCCCTCCGGTGAGTAGAATGTTTTTATTAAAAACAATATTCTCTCTCGTATTTATCGTAAAAGTACTGCTCTGATATGCCGCCATTGTTTGGATATATTAGTCTAGTCTTATTAAAGACAATAATTACTCTGGTAGTAATCAAGATATTAATAAATACATAATCATACAGAAATATTTTTCCTTAAGAGCGTAGGCGCAAAATTTCGGGACAATGCTTTTTAAATGCATTTATTTTTTTCGAATCCTGAGAAAACTAACAAATATTTTTGAAAAATTTAAACGCAGAATGAAGGATTACATTATTATCAAGGGCAAAAAGTCCCTTAGAAAAAACAAAAAGTTTTTTTGAATGAGATATTTGAAATTAAAAATCACACTAAATTTTCTCTTTTTTTTTCATCCCTGTAACTTATTAAAATAAACATTATAGAAGTTTTCAGGGACTTTCGGCCCTCGGTAATAATGTAATCTTTTATTCTGCGTTTAAATTTTTCAAAAATATTTATTAGTTTTCTCAGGATTCGAAAAAAATGAATGCATTTAAAAAGCATTTGCCCGAAATTTTGCGCCTACGGTCTTAAAGAAGTATCTATGAAGGTTTGTTTTTTAAACAGCGCTTGAAATCATTTACATTAAGTATGTACATAATTAAATAAAGCACGATCCAGGAGCTTCCCTATATACCTCAATGTAAGTAAACAGAAATGGTAATACATGCACTTTAACGATATTAACGTAAGTAGCTCTTCTACATAGAAATTCCCCTTTCTTAATTAATTTCACAACCATTAGATAATAGAACGATAAGTAATTAATTAATTATCAAAGTAAACACAAATGCATAAATTATCTAATTAGAATTGTTAACAATAGAGAAATAAATATTGTAAATAGTTTACGCAATAAGTAGCGGAAAGTTTAATTTTCCACACCAGTTAAAATCGAAAAGAACATGTTTTGTCCACCTACCAATTTCCTGTCGAGGTTGAACGATTTTCTTTTTAGTTGGTTCATTAAGAAGCAAATCTGGATTAAATATGGTATCTAATAAAGTCTAAAAAATAAAAAGACAACACAAAATGAAATGAAATGATACGCAAAACAAAACAAAAACATAAAATGATTAGATGTTAAAATAAAAGCATATTGTAAAGATGGTACACTTAATTATTGTAATAAACTAAAGTCCAATATTTTTATCCCTATATCTGTATACTTATACTATTGCCTACTAATAACTTTATAAAACTATTTTTCTCTTTAGAAAGTCTTTAGAAAGTCTTTCTACCTTCTTTTTCATAATGGGTTGGATTCCCAAATTAAATTTCTCCACATATTTGTATCTTGAGATGTATAGATTATCTTTTTCAGAATGATAAATAACCCTATTAATGTTTATCAGATGTTTCTCTTCTACTTTTCGCTGAGAAATCACAATGAACAGGTATTTATATTAGATGATAAGTTTTAGTACATTTGCCTTCTAAGTAGTACTAAAGTGCCTACTTTGCCTACTAAGTAGGTGATACATGGTGTTTTCGGCCACAAATTTTAGTGGCGAATATATTATATAAGCAGCACTCGACCAGCAAAACCCAATAAAACTTAAAAAGCTACACTTAACAAACAAATAAGATTTCTACAGGATTGTACTTAGGTATGTACCTGAAAGATAGAAATAATGTGACGCTAGAAGAAAAATACACAATATCAATAAAGCAATGAAAATTAGGCTTTCTATTTGTTTTTCTGGAAACCACCAGTTTCATACTAGAAGCAGATCTTTCATTAACTATTATACAAATTCTGGGGACTTCAGCATACTTGATTAAAAATTTCTAAAAGGCTATCTATATAGATATATATAGATAATATGAGGTGAGGTAATGTGAGTAAGCAAAAGAAAAAGGATGCAGAGAATTTAAACCATTCTCTTAGGTTTTTAAGCCGTGACGTTAGTTTTCCACCTGCCCCTTTTCTTTTATCCCTCTTGCCTTCTATTATTAAATAAAGTATATTGTATCTCTTTAAGTAACATAATATGGCCAAAATATGTGACTACTTCCTTAGCTTTTCCCATACGCTGCAAAAACTTCGTTGCGAACTCTATCTTCCCAGTCCATTGACAGAATTCTCTGATACTTCAGGATTTCAAAGGACTTAAGTTTTACTAGAAGTATATCTGTTGAAGTCCAACCTTCCAGGCCATATAAAAGAACGAGGAACATATAACATCTTAATTATCTAATTTTTAGTTTTAGAGTAATACTATTTCCATATAAGATTTCCTTCATTTTAAAAAATGAAGCTATTTAGACTGATAAGTCAATAAATCATACATCAATCAGATGGCTGACATCTCTGTACCTTAATCTAAATACTAAATAGTGCTTCTCTGGTTTTATGGTTATTACAAAACCAAAACTGGGTGTCATCAAGTTGTTTTTTTATTTTTCGTACATACAAGGATAGATTTTTCATTCTTTGCTAATCATATTGTCCGTTCAATTTCGTCCATAATTATGTCAGGTACTGACACTACTTCTTTAATTGCAAGATCGGGATTTTCATCAATAAATATTCTTTCCTCGATGTATTCTTTCCATCTGTATATTTTATAGAAATAAATGATAATTAGTTTGTTGTCTCTATCAGTGATGTTATTTGTATGTTTTTAGTGCTGACCCATTAATTCTTTTATTTTTTTTACATATTAAATGCAAAATGTTTTCCCTGTAACTTTTCAATTTCCAAACATTTATTTTCGAAGCATTTTTTTTGCAACTCCTATTATAGTTTTTATCTCCTTATTAATTCGTTGCTATATTTTAACGTTTTAATTGTTAAATGTGCGTATTTTATCCATTAAATTCAAAATCTCATCGTTCATCCACTATCGCTTTTTTCGATTATCTTTTAAGTTTGGAGTTGAGCTCTTGCTTCAAGAATGCACGTCTGTTGCTTTAAAAGTCTTTATGATTGCCTCCTTCAGTGGCCACATTTCGCTTGCATGTGTAAAAATTATTTTGACAATAGATTTTCTGTTTATTTTCTCTCCTAGTTGTTTTATCCCACAGTTTGCTGTTCCCAATGCTGTTCAATTATTGCCGAAAGGCTTCTCATCTTTAGTTATTTTTGTGTTTAATCTCTTTATCCAAATTACCCTCATTGGTTTTGTGTATGCCTAGTTATTTATACATTTTACAGTGATTTAAGTATTGGTGTTGCTATTCCAAAACTAGATTTAGTTGTTCTCCTTCTATGCACATGTATCATGCTTTATTGATATTTACTTTTATGTCCCATTTCTGATACTCCTGCCTAAGTTTGCGTGCCGTATATTCTAGATCTTTGAAGTCCTCAGTTAAGATTATTGGGTTGTCTGCAAAGCATAGTGTGTACAATCTGGTGTCATTTAGAGGGATGACTACTCTCCAAGTAGATCTTAAACAAAATCGGGGAGAGACCATGCCTTTTGAGTCCTTGGTCTATTATAAACCCTTTAGATATGGCTTAACCTATCTTTATTTTACTTGTGTTGTTTTTATAGAGTCCTTGCACTGCCTTGATTAAAGTTATATTAATGTTTGTTTGTTCTAAAGCTTCCCATAGTTTTGGTTGTAGTATTCTGTCATATACTTTTTAAATATCTACTTATAAGAGGTATATTTCTTAGTTTCGTGCCATTTTTTTTTCTGTAAGTTGGATAATCGTAATAGATGGCCAATAGTCGATCTACTTGCTTTAAAGCCAGCCTGTTTTTTGACCTCCTATCACTGTATTCTCCCTATATTCTCTTTTTTATTGATTTTCCGTAAACTTTAGAGATAGTGTCTAACTTTGCTATTCTTAGTAGTTGTCTTAGTTTCTTTTTCCGTATTTTAGTAGTTCGGGTAAACCTGATAATTTGGCGTTTTTTAACATTTGACATACTTGTTTTACTTCTCTTCTGTTAATACTAAGTGGAGATGCTATTATATTTACTTGTACATAAGAATGTGTTTTTGGGGTTTGTAGATATTTTGTCCTTTCCTCCGTCAGTAATTTTTCCCATTCACGACGAATATCTGTATCGACGAATATGGACGAATTCTCTGTGTCTGCTAAACAAATTATTAGAGCAATTTAGATATTCGTGGGTTAATTACGAAAAATATGAAATTTCCTTTTTGAAAATTAGTGGGACGATGCAGTATGGTAATTAAATTAAAAGAGGCACATTCGGTAAGATTTGTTGCTAAATTAAAATAAAAATGAAGGGAAAGGAATCTCAGCTCCCATGTTTTAACAAAGTTAAAACCGACCAGAAGGGAAAACATCCAATTATTAACTAAAGAAATATTTACGGGGAGTACAAACACCTTTTTCCATATTTTTTTGACGACAAAAACCGATTTTTTAAATATTTGGGTATGAATCTGCACTTCGTTTATTTTGTTAAACATTGAACACAGACTTACAAAGAACTAATAGAATTACCACAATACCCATTGTTTATTACGGTCCGTCCCAAACCCTTTTTTCAGTGCGTCATAGTTGATCGAATTCTCTCTAACGCATAAAGCTAGAAGTGACAGAAAAAGACGTGAGTCTGTGATTATTATACATAGAACATAGAAAATTATGTATCGTTCACGAGTATTTGCATATTAGAGCGAATTCTACTTACGGATGTATAATTGGTTGGAGTTTAGAATACGCTAAATAGATATCCAATCAATGATGCGCATAAATATAATTTGACGCAGATTATCTTGATCATGACAATACTTTCACAATGTCAACTGATAAAATGATAATTGTCATTCCAGATTAGTATTTTCAGACATTTTACAGTGAAAATTTAATTTTGTATTTATTGTCATAAAAATATTTTAAATATGCCGAGATATACCGAGAAAGAACAAAGACTACATACCTATTTAAAAAAATTACCTTTTCACATTTAGTCGATTACGATCCTGCAACTGTCAGATTTAACTAAAATGTCAAGCAATAATTTTCGACATTCTTAAAATCCTGTATGACGTCACATTTAGTGACGCACTGAAAAAAGGGTTTGGGACGGACCGTAACTCCTCGATGTTTATCATAAATCAAACCAATCAAAAACAACACTCAGCAGCGCCAGATGCCTGAAACTAGAATGAAACGTTCATGCCGGTAAAAGTCTGAGTCAGACTACCAGCGCAAGACTTTTCAGCGCGCTGATGCATTTTGGCCAGGTCTGCCTAAATACATAAGATTATTTAAACACCGATACGGCGAGAATCGGCGTCGACTTTCTGACTCCGAAAACCAGCGTTCATATTGGACGTACCTAAAGACAGTTAAAGTGATACACTTTGTTTAACAATTTAAAATTAATATATTGGACAATAGTTTATTTGTTATTTACCCTTTTCAAGCAAACTTATAGAACATAAATATAAGTGCATAAAGCTTACAAGAAGACATTGATAATAATAATTCTATTATATATTATTAAAAATTTTAACTTAATAAAATTAAGTATTGAAATTTTTTATTATCAAAATAAGTTTTATTTTTTTAATCACAAAGCATAGAGAGCATATTTTTCTGGTTTAGGTGACTATATTAAGAAAAGAGCTTTAAAAAGTATCTTGAAAACTATGTTCTAGAATTTCAAACAGGAGTTAAAGTAATTGTATCGTATTATTTATTACGTATTCCAGGTTTATCTATGAACTCCGTATATTTATATGTAATATTTCCAAGCTTACTAGACCTTCTAAGGACAAAATAAACTAGAGGAAAAACTATATAAATAGTGACCAGAAAACCGTTCATATACTTCTTCTTTTTACTATGTCGATCCATTCCGTATGTTGGCGGTCAACGTGGCGAACCTAACTTTGCTTGCAGCTATTAGGAATAATACGGTTATATATGTACTAAACCACTTTTTCAGGTAAAAGTCAAGATATTCCTTTCCTCTCTGCTCCTGTCTTTCCAAATATCTTGTCCTGAAGAATAAGTTACAACAAGCCATATCTTTATTCATTTGTAAAAACATGTCCAAGATATTCTTAT